TCCAGGAAGTTCCTAAACAGTATAAATGCCCCTTTCTTGAGCAATTACGCTTCTATTGCAAGCCAAGTATCGACAACCCATAGCCAGGCTATACGAACACAAATCACACGTCTTCTGTCAGGTAACGAAGATACAGTGACACAGAAAAGCAACACGGGAATAAGTTTATAATGCTTATTGAGTTGTATGTTGTGATGCTATGAATTTATTAATTTACAAAACGCGTAATCATGTTTTCAATGAAGATTGAAGAATTCACATGAAAACTCTCTCTTATATCTATATACACGCGACAAAACCCTATTCATTGTCCTAAATTATCTCTACTAAAAGCCAATGCACGATTCCGATTATGTCATATGCATGTGTATACGAAATCCTCTCTCTCTTCGGCGAACTTTTATGTAGCAATCCGATTCCGTAAGTGCATGAAATCTTACACAACATACAACACGGGATTCTATGTGAAGACATTACAACTTGCTTCATGGAACACTCGGAACAAGCTCCGTTTTATCGTGAGTTCCAGACCAAATCAGCTACAAATCCAGACCACAAAAAAAATTCTGGAAAATTTATGATGCATCTTTTCCAATTTCATCGCTTCAGAAAGCTTTTAAGAACAGAAGAATCTGCCTTCCTATCACGAATATTAACATTTCCCAACCCTTATATCGCTTCCACGACTAATCAAATAATTTTATCGTTGAAAGTTTCAGAACTCCTCTTCCATTGAGAGCGGTGCTGGGTATGGCATGCCAGATATGAGATAGCCTCACTGGCCACAGAGTACTGTAAATCAATAGGTAAACGTTACAAGTACAGGAAGCAATGACGGTTTACCATTACGCTTCCTGGCAAGCACGTGCTAATATATCCCTATGCAAGAACATAGCCTGGTTTGTTTAACACATGGCTAAATAATCACCAAATAAAACAGTGTATTGCCCTCGTGAACTACTGTAATAAGAACCCATGGTCTTCAGATAACTGGGGTACGTTCGTGGTTAGGATTCGATTTGATAGGGTTTTCATTCATAGTTCCACATACTTATTCTGTTTCATTCGCAGGCCAACTGCACATAAAGTTCGTGCACGTGCTTCGTGCCAATCATTTCACACGATTCTAATAATGCTAGATTTGCCGTGTTAGGATGTTTATAGTGGAATGCCTGTTTCGGTTAATATTGTTGTGTTTCATCAATTAATATTCAATATGCCGTTGTACGCAGGTTTATAGATGACATGTCTGTACATGATGGTATAACTGAATTGCATTTCACGAATCTAAATCATATCGTGTTACATAATTGACACTCATATTTTGTAGAAACACAGTGTGTCATGTTTGTCCTGCTAGTCTAATGTCATGTGGGTCATGAGCGCTATTGCTATGGATACTTTGAGTAGTTGTGAAGCATATACTTGTACAGTTTACACTGTGTTTTCTATATGTCGTGTTTATAGGTTTGAACTGCATAATAACTTGATGAATAAGTATTAAGGTATATTTAAACTTGAATAATGTATAAATCAGTTCATTTTCGGTTGGAATGTTTGCCCGGAATGTTTAAACTGCAGTATGTATCGGGAAACATCAACCAATAACTTTGTTATGATCAGGATTCATTCTTGTTTGAGAAAAAGACTTTCAAGATATACAGTGTAAGTCAAACCTTTGGATAGGTGAAAAACAATATGTTCTAAATAATCCTTTAGAAGTAGACTTCAGTTTGAAATCTGGTCTGTAATGACAGTTCAATGCACATGTATTGAGTTATATAAAAAATAACACGCACATGCTTTTCATTGGAGCGGTTAAACCACCACATTACAAAAGTTCAAACAATTCCTTTAATCTGATGTAACCATGTTGAATTGCGCGTTCCATCATTATGTACAAAAATATTTTTGACAACCTTTAGATTTATATTTATTGTCGGTTGAACAAGTAGACCCAGAACGCTTATGTACCGTTTGTCTTCTTCATGTGAAAGACACATATCGACTTTCAGAATTTCATAACTGGTTGCTGTGAATTTCGACAGTTGGTGGCGTGGCCATTGCTACTCTGACACACGTACTTTCCGAAAGATAAGAGAAGATGCTGCCCGTCAAAATACCTGAATAACAAAGTCCTCTGGCACTGTGCTTCGTGTAGCAACCTTATTCTTACACAATGCATACTGAAAAATAGAGATCACTAGCTGATATACAGATGACGATGATCTTAACATTTGCCAAGATGGTCCTGGTGTCTGTAGGTGGTTCAATATATGCGTTTCTGTATTGTCCAGAGACACTTTCCAGATGTGTCCCCAGACTTAGTATATTGTGTGAATATGATCTCAGAGCCACATCTGCTCCACGGTATAAATTACATGTTGAACCAGTCATCTGCTCGTTTAACGTCTCAATCGCATGACAAGGCGACACTATTTCCTGTTTGAGTATATCCATTAAGCGTTGTCTCTTCATCCATCAGTTGTTCAGTCCTTGTCCTCGAACTTAACTGATATACTGTACTTTCGAGATTAACATAAACCGAAAACTAACTGGACATATTTCGTACGCGGAATTAATAGAACATTATGAATTCAAAACATGTTCTGTAACTTTAGTTTTCTTTGAAATCTGTGTCCATGACGTCATTATATAATCTAAATATAAAGAGGTGTTCTTGTAAGTGATTGCAATATTCAACCTTATATTGATAATCATTCTGAGCATTCGGTGCATTGTATACAACCCAATGCATCCAATCGTTCTATTGGGTGCACACATTACGTTTAGAATATGCCGCATTACTCTGGTTTTTGATGCATGATGCACGAGTGAAAGTGAGTACAATGTAATTACGTTTCAGTAGAAAACGCCTGGGTTTCATTCCACGACACTCCAAACATCTGGTTCTTATTGAGGACACCTAATATTAATCAACATTCGATTTTGATATGAGGGCCTCACACACTTTCATTCTTAAACAATCAATCTTACATGAATTCTGCGATCACATTAAGAGTAAATATGCTTATGTAGCTCGAACAATTCCCCTCAAGAAATGAAGAAGGACATGTATGTTCTGTCCGTTATTAATAATACTGTACAAAATGTTCCACCGGTACATTATATCATCTTTCCAACAGAAAGTAGACGGAAATAATACCTAATGCATATTCACGGTAACGTAGAATGTCAGGTTAACGTCCAAATCATAGATCCACCGAGCAGTAAGAAAAATACTGTTTATCTTCTCCAGACCAATCGTGAATGCCATAGTTGCATCTCTACGTTTTCTTTATAAGACCATCAACGTCTTCCAATGAAATATTCCGGCCCCTGAGGATAGTCCGAACGTGATGACATGGTATGTTCACTTTATTTGATTAGTCTGCCAAACGGATGAATGTCTCATTCTATCCATGTCCACGACTGTAGAGGAAGGTTACACCAAGCCATGTCCATCATGCATTCCAAGCCGACAACAAAGGGCCATAACTGTGTTATTACGTCTAAATATAGCTAAAATTGAGATAGCCTGCCGCTCCGACACGGTATATAACAAAGGCACAGACAAAACTCATCCTTTTTTACTCGTCCTGGCGTCCTTTTCATGATGGCGAATTAACATTAATAATGGTTCCTCCATTACCTTCATACGAGGATGGCGTGTAATTCCCTCCAAGGATGAAGAGTTGCCTAAATGAAGGCACTGATTGGCATTTAACTTGCTTTCGTCTAGATTTTGTCTTCATTCATTTTGTAATGTGGCCTAAGGCTAAGGTTCTTGGAACGAAATTGTTTTTTCAGAGGTTGGCTAAATACTTTACAGGTAAAAATAAAAATTGACAATGGCTAGTCATTAAGAAAGAGAGGCAGTTCACAAATAGAGTTTAGAATGGACTTAATTTGATTCGGGGGTTATTTTAGTTCTGATTGTTTTTCGGACTTCAAATTGCCCTTCTATCCAGGCCATCAACATACGAAACGACGTTATTGAAAGGTGTCATTTTTTGCTAGCCTAATGACATTATATTGTTCCAAGTTTATCGCGTTCTCCGCCGTAATACGTTCAATTAAAAAAATGTCACAATGTTGTTATCTGTCTGTAATTAGGAATCAGGGGGTTGTGCTCCCAGTCGTTGTTGTGTTTATTTTTTGTGGAAGAAAGATAGGGAGATGGGTGGTAGATTTCCACAACGGAGTCTTATAGTCGTCGAGAGCCTTTTAGCAATTTCTTAAAAAGCAATTACAGGGTTCTTTCTTTAAACTTGAAGCGATAATGCAAAAACCGTTTCGTCGACAACTTTCATCATCCGTTTTGACATTCAAACTACACTGAAGCCTCAGCACATTGAGCAGCATAACGATCTCATATATGTAGGTTATGAAAGGTATGTCTCGCACTTGTATTTTCTGTAACCAATTTTCCTATAACCTTGGACGTCTATATCCTTTACTTATAGAGTACTTTACAATGCCATAAAATAACTGGTTTATTGACCTCCTAGTTGTTGGCTTAGTCATGGCTGGGTATTGTAATAAATCACCGAGAAACAGGCATTCCATTCACAAGTGCTCCTTGAAACAGTGAGCCCGGTGGAAGCTGTTACTCATTTCTGAAAAATGTAAATTTTGACTTTGCCATGATACATAGCACAAGTTCCGTGTCTGGACAAACGTGTAGAGAACATATCAGCGACGTGCAGTCTTTAAAGAATACCAACACAAACAAGAAGTCCACGTGTAGCTCTACATTGCCTGTAAAACCCATGTTATTTCTTTATTGAGACCACCGCTAGAACAATTTCCTTCTTGAGGGCATGTGGAGACTGGCACAGTACACGGAAGAGATGTATACATTGTGCATCCTTACAAGATGAGGCATCAGTGCCTTATCAACTATAAGAGGTGACAGACGGAGGCATGTAAAGTGTTGAAAGATGCCAGACCTTCTTGTGATTGTTAGGAAAAGATTTAAAGAAATGTGGTAAGCTTACCTGAAGTTGCTACAGGGATGTATCACCCAATTTCCGACCTTCCTATGTCGCATCTTCTCTTTCAACAGAGCATTCTTATTTCCAAACAGCTTCATTGCGAGTTTATTGTCCGACGGTTGAAAGAAAGTTAATATCTGATCCTTTAGAAAAGTTGTTGGACTGGATTTACTGTCCCCGGCGTTACTGTCTGTGGAATTAGGGAGTAATTCCTCCTTTGGTGTCCCATACAGACTAGTTTCGTCGCCAAGAAACTGCACTTTGTTCTCATTTTTGTAGTTGATCTCCGGACTCAAGTAATCACTATACACAGAGTCGTCGTCCGAATCTAGAGTGATGGTTATGGAAGGGTTTGTATTGTTAGGTTGTTGCAAACAAGGCATAGTCGCTTCTGGCTTTTCTTTTTCTGGTTCTGCCTTTGACCCGACATTGAGTCTTTTCAGTTTCAAACTTGGCACGCGGCGTGAGGGCCTAGGTGGCGTGCCGTGCGCGATTGGATGAGGCCCCGAGCGATGAGCACTCCCATTGGCCGGCTTGCAGTACTTGACGGAATCGGAGCGGACCAGTTTAGGGGAGGCCATGTGCGCTACCCTCTCTGCGGCAGCAGCTGCCACACTGGACGAGGAGTCCTTCCGCCTCTTCTCAGAACCCTGCCTCGGGGGATAATCTGTGGGCGAATTGCTCGATCTCCGCACCAAGGGAGAGGAACGAGGGGTGACGAGTTTGGGTGAGTCCTCCAGCGAACTGTTGCTACCGTCCATGTCCCTCTCTCTGTGCAGCCTCTCCCTCTTCTCGTCCCGGTCCCGACCCCTCCCCGGGCTGGCGTCCGCCCGGAGGGGGTCGGACGGCGGGGTCCTGGGACCAGACATCTGGTCCACAGACGTGCCTCGGTGGATGTTCCTGTCAACAGAAAGGGAATCGATATAAGAAGCTCATCCAATTTGACCAAATATTGTTCGACGATACGCGGATGAAGGTAACACTTGGACAGACCACCTAATTACAACACACGTAGCCAGTATGGCGGTCGTGCTGGGTCGGATTTCATAGAACAGTTGACGAATTTCTCAGACTGAAATAGTGCAGTCCACTAGGTGAGAAGACCACATACCACCTCACTGTGGAACAGAATAACACAATCGACCAGCTATGGGAAATCAATATGGGACTAGAGAAACGCAGTCTATAGCTTTACATATCGCGAAGCTCTTGTGATCATTGACTCTGGTCTAGTCAGATTCAGTGCCCCCAACGTCTGCGTCTTATCAGACAACCTAAGTAGAATATAAACAGATTCATGTACACTTTGCTATTTGAATCATACATCTTTAAAATAAAAAAATCTCGTCAGAATTTTAGTTTTCCCACCACACTGGTGAATCGCCATACCTCAGACTTTTCTGCAAGGAGCAAAACACAGTTCGACATTTCGACACTATTCTGGCTAGCTCTTACGAAAAATGCAATGTCTCAAAACATTGAAAGATCATTAGAGACAATAATGCTCAACATACTATAATGTGCTTTCCAACAATACATTTATGAATTGATACCATTCGGTATAACGGTTCTTCCTGATTAAAAATGGCACGTCATAGATTATAACCATAACATATTATTGGGATGAGTATGAATATCTATGAATTTTAAAAAGAAATGCATCATAAATTAAATGAATTCCAGTAACTAACAACCTGTCCGCAATACGCTAGTGCAGTACAATACACATCTAACGTTCTAACGTTGGAGATTTTCGAACTGAGATGAAGACCAAAGTAACCATGTGTACCTTCAGTGACCAGGTTCTGCTGTCGTCTATGTAAGTCAGTCTCTATCACGTTGTTGAAAACGTTAGTCAAATGGTTCAGGAAATATTTTAATCATATATATACTGGTTAGGTCTGAGCGTAAACCTGCAGGCTATGGAGACCTATACGTTTGTTCCCTTAGAATGTACCGAAGGCAACCTGTGTTCAGATAATCAGCTGGAATGTTTACCTCTTTACTGACCTTTAAGAGGGTTATACCTCGTGCAATAATTGATACGCACTATCCGAAGCCATTTAACCTGACCTTAGTGAAGTGGAACACGGCTTCTGTGAACGGTCGTCCATTTCATTTTGAAATGCACTCAAGTGCAAGGAGAAGTACTTTGATTCCAACGAGAACCGTATGTGCATACAATGTGTACTCGTTCCACGTTGTTTAGGTTTGGTTCAGTCTGTGTATGGTATTAATTATGGCTGTTTGTGCTCATTTGATTTGATTTATGAAATGTGAAAGAAGCATTGATACGGACGTTTTAAATGCAGACACAGTAAACACGTCTGTAGGCCTTACTTGACGTGTTTATGCTTTGATTTCTTAAAATAATACGTACGTGAGCTACATCTATTCTGCTATTTGAAAGTGAGCATTTGTGAAGATGATGTATAATGTTATTTATTTAAAATGAATCACATACATGTAGTGCATTCTCCTTAGCAAGGGCCGTCCGGCGAGTACATTACATATTAATTCAGTTATCTCTTTCCTATGAAAATCTAAATTTCCAGAATGCGGTTGTAAATATGTGCCGAAAAAAGGCAAATTCATTCATTTTCAAAGATAAGATGTCTAAGATACCCATTAGCAGCAGTGTATTATGCGAAGTTATTTTTCATTTTTAAACGTCTAAATTTAAATTGTATTATTATAAATTATTTCTAGAAGTATTCTTTGCGTGCTGACTAGGCGCCAATACAGTTCATTTTTTATTTATAATATATATAATAACTTCAGATACTGAGAGGTATAGTTTTATTTGACCCGCAGTTTAGTTTAACGTATTAGTTTTTACCTGCAACGTGTATATGTAATTAAACTCCATATAATCTGATCCCAAAACCTCGACGTCATCCACAAACAGTGACGTCACAGGTTTTGGTGCACATTGAATGCGCAAGCCGCTACAGAAACCACAGCGAATGTGTCTCTTGATGTATGACATTCAGACAGTGCAAATTCATTTTTCGGTCTATCCATAGATATCTATATCTATTCCCAGCTGCTACCTGTGCTGAGGATGTCCCTTGTTAAAAGACTAGCTTTAGGAATAGGGACAAACAGACAGATTGTGACATGGATATTGTGACACGTTTGGAGTAACCAAGCAAACATAAAATATGCATACTGTCGCTTACCACATGCCAACCGAATTGCCTTTACTATTTTGCTTCGAGTTCCATATGAAGTATTATCAAGTGATCTTCGGGGGATAAAGTGATGCAAACAAAAACTATTTGTTCCACTGATTGAATATTTCAAAACAAATGCCTTACAGTAAACAAATGTGAGTGGCGGCTATCTAACTGATTAAACCGGAGAGCGTATCGGTATGTGATCTCTGATTAAACCTGTTATCTTGAATAATCATCTTTATATCAAGACCGCCTCCATGGTCTAGAGGTAGAGCGTCCGCCCGGAGAGCGGAAGGTCCGTTAAAAGATAGTACTTGTTGTTACCCTGTCTTGCGCTCGGCATTAAGGTGCTAAAACAAGGACTGGTCGGCTCGGAGTCAGTATACTGTGTCTGAGTGGGGTTTTCATGTTAAACTGCGGCATGGTATCTCAGTCGGCTAGCACTATAAATCGGCATCAGTCCTAGAACAAGCAGCCACACACACATACACACGTGCATGCACGTCGCTATATAAGCGCAATAATCTTGGACGCGACATTTCACTTCACCTCACCTGACCAATCCTGATCGTAAGTGACATTTAACCCCATTTCACCTCACCTCACCTTTTTTATCTATTTTTTTCATTGCTGTTATGAGATATTCATGGCATTCTTCAATTCGACGTGAAAATAATCTTAACATTAGTACACAGATGAATTGAAAAAGACAGATATCCATGTTGGTGATGACATTATACAGTTCGCTTAATAGGTGTTCGGGTTTTATGTAATTGTTCGGTTGCCATCCATTTGTTTGATCACAAATCAGAAAGCGACGTCATATTAAAGTTCAAGACGAATGAGAGTTTATCGAAACTTACCAATTTACATTATAACACCAACATTTTCTCATTACAAATTGCACATGTCTCAGAGGATCCACAGGCGACACCCCCTGATATTAGATGTGAATAAAAGCAAGAAAAAACATTCCATAATCACAATAAATCTGGACCAAAAGCAGAGTCTATAGTCCGATTTCGACTCCATCATATATATATTTGTCTGTGAATCACAATCACATAGAAATGATACTAGGTATTCGCGAAAGGGTGAGCATACCCTGCCCCATTAGTGACACTGACAGAAACAAATGCAAAGGCAAGTGAACTGTTCACCGGATAAAATACGGGAAAATATGGTAAAAGTCAAGCAGACATCATTTTGGACACTGATGCGTCAAATTTGGAAATGTACTCCACCATAAAACCGTTTGAAGATCACACAGAGACAACCATGCTTAACAGTGCCCAACATTCAAACTAAACTCTGAGGTGTCTATTCTATTCAGCAATTGCAATATATTCTCCATATACTATATATTCTATTGCCATATATGTCTCGAACCAGACAAGTGAAATATGAACTTGTCAGATATCACAATAGGCACATTGTCTTGTATCCACTAGCATATTGCATTTACCTAAGAGGGTTGTGAAGAGCCGGGCTGTTGTACAGCATGTAGTTCAACACAAAAATAGACGGCCATCGTCAGTGGTATTATTGTTCATATGATGGCATAAAAAAGATAGAGGGGACCGTATCCTAAGACTTAAGATGTTTTCCGCGACCGGTGCCCTGTTTGAATTGAGAAGATGTTTTGTGTATGAAGAGTAGCCATTAGCTGTCAGACTATTTTGCATAATTAACTTGGGAGGCTGTGTTAACGGTGTGTTAAGGTTAGAATGATTGTGACGGCCAAATGACACAAGAACAGTTCCTCGTTAAGGATTGTGGAAGGCCATTCTTGACGTTATATGACTCGCATATTTAAGAAATAAACGATGAGTATGTGCTGTAACACTGCCGTACCAGACCGTGTGGTACTGTGTGCTGGGATGATAAGGCGTGGCGTGGTTGCAAATTCCTCCAGATAATACAAAGTATTTATGAGGGCAATGCTCTGGATTCTATGTTTACATATCTAACCATACACGTATTGTCAGTGGTCGTAGGGCGTTCGGCATTGGGAACAGTATCCCCCAATAAACATAACAGTCGTGCAACAGTTGCTACTCTGTATAAGGGTCCCGTCACAGGCTACGACTGTCATAAATCCATGGTAAAGAAGTAGTCAGATGGCTGCCATAGCCTTGTGGAACGATCCCTCCAAAAGTTGCTTGGAGTTACAATTGCATGATCACAATGCCTTCTAGACAAGTGTGTGACGTAATAGGTGACCATGACGTCACAATCAAACAACATCCCTCATCCATCTGCCATTAAGCTGGTTGGCTGTACTGTGTACACACAAGACACTGGTTATTTAAGAAATAAACGAGTGGGAGTTGTTTATGGTACAATAAATCACTGCAGGGAGAATAAACCGTGAAGGGGCGGAGCGACCACGAGTCGTTCATTTCTTATAAAATATATCCACATTGCGTACAGGCTGTTTGAGGATGGTGATGAAATGTACAAGTTTTAATAATATTTACCAGTATTTTAATAATGATGACTCCCTAGTTAGAATCCGACCTCGGTAATGTCCATTTTATGCACAGGTGGGTATTTTCCGCATATTCTCACAATCTTCACGTCTATCACCTGTACCTTTTCTCCCAATGACGATTGTCATATCTCTCCCACTTTTGGACGCGATCCTTCGGCCATCGCATTTCTCTGCGTGTCCAAGCTACACTTATGGGAACATCTCACTAAACACTCCCCTCTCAAAAA